ACAGTATAATAGGGTCATGCAGCATTTTGGTATCAACAGTAACACAGTAGCCCTGAAATCCTGACCCCGAAAGATCCTGTAGTCATTTTGGGGCCTCTTCCCAGAGAAGTTCAGTGGTTGATTTTTGACTTTGAGGCCCATGGGATGTTCTAACTAGGGTTTAGGGTTTAGGGTTTAGGGCTGGTTCTAAGGGTTTAGGGTTTAGGGTTGGGGGTATGAGCCCAAGCCTTCAAACATCCCAACAACCATACGGCCTTAACCCATCTGAAAAAGATTGCCCCACACCTTCAACCCTAAGCCTTATGTAGATCCCCTAAGTCCTCAACCTCACATCTGAGTCCTTTCATAGCCTGCAATTCCCAGCCACAAAAGAGACTCGGACGGCTTTCGAGCATGACACTGGAGCGTTTTAGCAACTGTTGACGAAGTGATGGAAGGAAACACGTCCTCTCGATGCAGCATTCGCAAATGCCAGCAGCTGGCTCAACGTACAGTCGGCCCCGCGTATCCTACAGCCACACTGCGCCGGAACAATTATCCCCTCTGAGTCTTATCGACACCATTGTTCTTGCACTTGGACAGTCATCACCCTGCCCTTGTCACGGAGTATGAAGAGTGCTGAGAAGAGTCCTGAAGATCATTCTTAGCGTTTGAAGCCTCCCTCGCACCTATGGCTCTGGGTGGTACCAACGCAAACCTGGCTATCGATGACGCGCTGAAAACGTGCATAGGCATGTGGGGTTTGGGTTGGGTGTGGGGGATTGGGTTTGGGGAAGCCAAGCAGATGGTTCACGGGTGGTGGGGGTGAGAGGTGCGTAGTTTCGTGTTGGAGTCTCCTGCTTTCATTGCACCTTTGGGCTGCAAATGTCACATCCCGAAGTCCAGTGCATCTCATCTTAAAACATTTACTCACTCAAGTGTGTGATGGGTCAGCGGACTAACCAGCTTGCAAGCAGACTCCTCATTACAGAGGACTACGTACTAACAGCTTCATGACTACCAAATACTCCCTTTTTTTTGAGGCGTACCGGCCATAATTGTTTTTGGCGAGATAGAGCATGAGGGTTTTTCTTGGCATCCTTCCGAGGTTATAGAAGAACTAGAATACTTGTTCTTGGTACTGTCTTAGCTAGCGCGTTAACCCTGCAATAGAGGAAGATAGGAGACGAAAAGTGAAAATGCACATCAGGGAAGATCTTCTAGACACCCTGACAACAGAAAGCCTTATAGCATTTGCATAGGCATTTGATTAGTCTCACGAGGGTTGTTTAGACAGCCATTCGCGACATCACTTGATTACCCTGCTGGGCTTGTCCTAGCACTACAAGCAATGTTGCTTAGAAGGCCATGCAAATCCCAATTATCAACACAAATCAGAAGCTTTGAGCCCCAAACTCTAAACCCCTAAGCCTCAACCATCACATTAGCTAACTAACCTAGAAGTGTGGGTAACGAGAAAGATTACTTCCCTGTGACCACTACACAGGGTTTAGGTTTGTGCATTTAGGGTTAAGGGCTTAGGCCTTAGGGGTACTGGTAGATATGGATAAGCATGGTTAAGGGTTCCGGGATATCAACCCAATAAGGGGGAAACACATGGAAAATAACATGGAAAATGTAATGGGCACTGGGCTTACACAACCTCAGGTGTATGTATAGGCTTGGCCTCAATGACCGTTCCCCAAATGGTAGCATTTGGGAGACCTGCATTGTAGAAGGAACCTCACCATAGGGACCCGTACTGTAATGGATATTTCAAGTAGGTTTGTGGGAACCTCTTTGGGACTTGACATATACTATGTAGCTACCCTAAACCCTACGTAAACCTAAACCCTAAACCC